TCTTTTATGGTAGACAAGGAAATGTAAATCGAGTGTTTGGGTGTGTGTGTGTCGTGTGTGTGTGTTATGAAGTCAAACCCAGGTGTGTTTCTGACAGGTGGGATGAGGAGCTGCAGACTGAAGCAGAGCGATGGAGAACACTGTATGAGGATCTGCTGAAGCTCACCACACAGCAGGTACATGGAGACACACACACATACACGGACATGCATACACACACACACACACACACACTGACAAACATGGACACGCATGAAAACATACATTCATACACACAAAGACATGCATGCATACAAACACATTTATGTGCTCAAAAACACACACATACACACAAATACAAACACAAACAGGGACACACACACATACACACATTTCATGGTTTTTATGTAAAGCTCTTTTGTTTTAATGTTTTTGTGTCTTTGCCAGGGCCAACAGGCATCAGTTGGACACCTCAAACCCCCATGAGGATCGACACACACACACACAAACACACACACACACACACGCTCAGTTTTAATGGGTAAAGTTTAGAAGGGATACAGCTGCAGATACTCGCATCATTCATTCATTTTCCTTCAGCTTAGTCCTTCATTTATCAGGGGTCGCCACAGCGAAATGAGCCACCAACTACTCTGGCATATGTTTTACACAGTGGATGCCCTTCCAGCTGCAACCCAGCACTGGGAGACACCCATACACACTTATATACTATGGCCAATTTAGTTCATCAATTCCCCTATCGCACCTGGAGGAAACCCATGCCAACATGGGGAGAACATGCAAACTCCAAACAGGAACACCAACTGACCCAGCCGGGACTCAAACCAGCAACCTTCCAAGGCCACAATGCTAACCACTGAGCCTACTTGCATAAATATAGCATCATTTTTGTGACATTGTACAACAATTATATGTATATATTTACAGTACTGTAAGGGTTGGGCTTAAGTTTGGGGTAGACCTTAATAAAATACTGTTTACTGGGTAATTTAATAAATGATACGAGTATATTACTGCTTTTACACTGTGAAGATTGGGGTAGATGTTAATAAAATGTATTTAATTCAAATTTTAAGGGTATTGTAATACATAATCTAAACTATATGATAACAATAATATTAATTCCTGCTTTTCTGGGCACTCAAAGCGCTTTACACACATTGAGGGGAATCTCCTCATCCTCCACCAGTGTGCAGCATCCACTTGGATTAGGCGACGGCAGCCATACTGCACCAGACTGCACACCAGCTGATTGGTGGAGAGGAGACAGAGTGATGAAGACAGTGATGATATGGGGATGGTCAGGAGGCCATGATGGACAGAGGACAGTGGGCAGATTTGGCCAGGATGCCAGGGTTAAACCCCTACTCTTTTTCCAAGGATATCCTGGGATTTTTAACGAGCACAGAGAGTCGGGACCTCGGTTTAACATCTCATCCGAAAGACAGAATGGTTCACTTGTATCGCTTGTTGCAAAAATGTTTTCAATTATTTTCTTAAATTCATGAATGAAAATATACAATTACAATCAGGAGATCAATATAAGAGAGATACAAGAGAGGGAAAATACAAGTGACATTAACAGCAGGTAATGTCACCTGTAAATAAACAGGGGAAAATAAACAGGGGGGCTAATAATTCTGACTTCAACTGTAATAACAAAAATCGGACACATTTTTTGTTGTTGCACATACAGAAGGATTTAAGCAGTCAACTTCAATCAGAAAATGTGGAAAACAAAAATTCCTAACAAAATAAAAACGATAAAGTCTTCAGATTCATGTGCAAAATCTATGTAATAATAAATAATTTATTTTAAACTTAAAGATAGGAGGAGTGTTTAAATAATAATGCAAGTCAAACCAAAACTTCACACATTCACACATACAAAATAAAAGTTTTACAGTTTCATCATCCTTACCACAAACTGGAGAACGACTCGGAATATCAACATATTTGTAAATAAATGAGATTTTTATTGCAGTATTTTAAAATGCCTTTATTTTTATTAGGAAGAAAGTATTTATAAGGCAACAACCAAGCTTTTCTCCAGTCTACATTATTAACTAATGCAACCCAACAGAATCTGCCTCACAGAACAATACGATGACTTTGCTGAGGAATTAAATGGATCTGTTCATTCATTCATTTCCTTTTCGATTTATTCCCTTAATTAATCAGGGGTCGCCACAGTGGAATGAACCGCCAACTTATCCAGCATATGTTTTACTCAGCGGATGCCCTTCCAGCTGCAACCCATTACTGGGAAACATGCATACATTCTCATTTACACACACACACACTCGTACACTACGGCCAGTTTAGTTGATCAATTCCCCTAAAGCGCATGTGATTGGACTGTGACCCAGCCGGGACTTGAATCAGTGACCTTCTTGCTGAGAGGTGATTGTGCTACCCACTGTGCCACCGTGATGCATAAATGATTATGTTTATTATTTTAATGTATTGTATATGACTATTGCCCAGATGCATTACACCAGTGGGGATATCTCTACGAACAGTATTAGAATCTCTGAAGTGAGTAGGAAAGTCACGAACAGTCATAAAGCGTTCATACCACAGTAAGTTCCCCAAATCATCAAGTACAGAAAATAATCACTTGTAACAGCAACTGCTGGCTGCTGGGATTGACGTCATTTTTGGAAGGCGCGTGCTGCTGGCTCTGACGTCACTCTCGGAACACGCGCGGGTTCTTTTAAACCGTCATTTCTCTGTCGGATTATCAAACTTGCATTCCAGTTTACTGCTGTTTGCACTGTTTCCCAGCGCGCGATGGCGAAGACGATTGCGAGAACTGCGAGGTCCATCGCGGCCCAGATAAACGAGTGCTGCTCCTACATCCACAGCAAATACCAGCAGCTGCAGGCCTTCCGCCGACAAGTCAAACGGAGGACCAGACCCAAGCACTGGGACTGGATAGAAGACTTCGAGCTCGAGCACGAGCTGCGCTTCCCCACCCGCGGGCCCCGGAGCCTGCTGAAGCTGCGGAACCTGCAGCGCTTCCTGCGGGAAACCGAGCAGAACTGGTGGGACTTTCGGCCTCCGCGGGTGCCCGGGAGACCGCACCGCGTGTTGCGGATAAACCTGCGGGACCGGCCGATCAAAGCCCTGCTGAGCACCGAGCTTTTCCCTCCGAAGCCCGTAGACCGCACCGAGAGACACTACTGCCGGAAACTGCTGCTGATGGAGCGGCCGCTGGAGATCAGCTTACCGGCAGACGTACTGGAGGAGATCCGTGCGCTGGAGCATCTGGAGGAGGAGCAGGGGCTACCGCCACACCTGCACTGCTCATCCGGTCAGGAGGACTATTACTCCGCGGATGAAGAGTGAACTTTAATAAAGCATGAAAACATGTTCACATGAGTTCATGTGTCAGTCATTTTCTTTTTAGCTTAGTCCCTTTATTAATCAAGGGTCACCACAGAGGAATGAACCGCCAACTTATCCAGCATATACTTTACGCAACGGATGCCCTTCTAGCTGCAACCCAGTACTGGAAAACACCCACACACTCATTTACACTCATACACAGACAATTTAGCTTACCCAATTCCCTTTTAATATGTGTTTGTACTGCGGAGAAAACCCACACCAACACGGAGAACATGCAAACTCCATGTGGACTCAAACCAGCAACCTTCTTGCTGTGAGGTGATTGGGCTACCCACTGCGCCACCATGCTGCCCCTTCTATATGGTTAAAATGTTCTTCATTTATTTACTTATTGTCCTCCATCCTTTATTAGGAGTCACCACAGCGGAATGAACTGCCAAAATTCTGAATATTTTTCACTTTAGTTAATAGTAATAATTATAATAATAATAGTAATGTGTCCTCTGGTTCCTGAAGTGTACACAGTGTTATCTGGGGTCGCCACAGCGGAATGAACCGCCAACTTATCCAGCCTATGTTTTACACAGCGGATGCCCTTCCAGCTGCAACCTAGTACTGGGAAACACCCATACACTTCCATTCACACTCACTACTGACAATTTAGCTTACCCAATTCCCCTGCAGCGCATGTGTTTGGACTGTGGGGGAAACCGGAGCACCCGGAGGAAACCCACATGGGAAACCCCATATGGAATCTGAGGATGCAACCAAATAAACCCTAAACCCAGCCCTCACAGTAAATGTGCAAAATGTAATGTAAAACCAAGTACGCCAAGTGAAATGAAGTACACCATGTATTATTCATATTATATATTAAATAATACCAAATACAATAACGCATGCGCATCTTTACATACACTCACCGGCCACTTTATTAGGTACACCTTACTAGTAGAGTGGCACCACCGGTGTGCTCTTCTGCTGCTGTAGCCCATCCGCCTCAAGGTTGGCCGTGTTGTGTGTTCAGAGATGCTCTTCTGCAGAGCTCGGTTGTAACGAGTGCTTATTTGAGTTACTGTTGCCTTTCTATCAGCTGGAACCAGTCTGGCCATTCTCCTCTGACCTCTGGCCTCATCAACAAGGCATTTGCGTCCACAGAACTGCCGCTCACTGGAGATTTCCTCTTAGTCAGAGCATTCTCTGTAAAGCCTAGAGATGGTTGTGCGTGAAAATCCCAGAAGATCAGCAGTTTCTGAAATACTCAGAGCAGCCCGTCTGGCAGTAACAACCATGCCACGATCAAAGTCTCTTTAATCCCCTTTCTTCCCCATTCTGATGCTCACTCTGACCTGCAGCAGATCCTCTTGACCATGTCTACATGCCTAAATGCAGTGAGCTGCTGCCATGTGATTGGCT